TTGTTCCTAGTAGCTTCTTGTTACTACTAGTAAGGCACCTGTTACTACTAGCGTGGCACTTGTTACTACTAGCGATGCTGAGGTCTGAACTCTTGAATGGTCACAAGCTTTCCGATGCTTTCCGATGCAACATGCCACACCTTCAATCGGGCCACTTCGCCAGCCAGCTTTCTCTTGGCATCCTGGAACAACGAAGCTGCTGCAAAGTACTAAATCTCAAAGGCTCGACACAAAAGTGCAGGCTGGCCTCATTCTCATCAATCTGGAACTCACAAAAGTGCTTCCTGCAGGGTTAGATTGTCATATTGCTCATGGCTTTCTCTCCTCAGTTGCTAGTCTGCCCAACCTGTCCTCTTAGTATCCTCTGTCTGGTGATTGCGGATCGCCTCGACCAAGCCCAGCACTGCCTTCGGTGTCATTTGCATTGCTCAAAATTTGATGAGCCAAGTGAAGGACCAACACATGTCTCTGGGCTCATTCTTGCAAGTTTCCGGCCTCTGCGGCTTTGTCCATACCCTTTGCCTTTTCCTTGGTTTGGTGTTGCATCAGGGCTACCTCAGCAGTTCAAGAAAAGGTTCTGAGAACAGTTGCAAGCAGCCAGTGATGCAAGGCAGGCGTATGCCGCATGGATAGTTCATCCCTTGTTACACTAGTGTACGTAAGTATGCCAGTATGCAATCCATCCCACATACAAATCAACATGCACATTTTGTGCGGATACACATAGAATGTACTTTACACCTTGGATGCACATTGTCAGTATTTAGTGTGTTATCAATATTTGTCCATATATTGCGTCTATCCTACTATCTGTAACGGTGGATGATAGTAAAGGCCTTGTTCAAAAATAGTGATAATTGTTACGGGTAATAGGACAGACCCGATCCATATTTAAATCCAAACTTACACAAGCTACATACAACATGCGTGTAAATTGTAAATTAGTACCCAGCAAAAGTGAGAGATAGAGAGTGAGAGAGGGAGAGCGGACATAAATGACATAGCTTGAGGCTGAACGTGAATCCAACAAGGCACGGCTTTCCTTACCAGGTCCTTCTTGCCGGATACGTCTCGCTTTTTGGAGACTACCTGGCTCACAAATCTCAGCAACGGCTTTCCTACCGGCCTTCGGTCCTGATTCACGACACCTGCCTGCAAGAAAGATGTTGCCCCGGCTGCATTTTGCCTACCTGCCTCCTGCCACTGGAAGTCAGGCGCATCTCAAGTCAAAAACTCACAACCGTCCAATTCCTCAGAGTCGACATATTTGATAAATGCTACAGAAAGGCACCCAGCCTCTTGCTTCAACAAGGCAGTTGCCTCCACGATTGCCTCTCTCTCTTTCTTCTGGTCTTCTTTGCGGATGTTGTACTCGCCAGTCTGCAAGGGCGCTTGATGGCGACCCGGTTCATGCTGGCTTTCTTCGGGGATTAGAACGAAAAACCGGTGGGCGGTGGAGAGTGACGGTTTGAGCTCACTCTACCTATGTTGAATTGCCAAATCCAAGGGTGCCACGCCTTTGCATCACATTTTTGTGCAGTCTCCCCCTTCATGCGGAACATATCCTTGCTCGAGTCCTCGCAGCATCTCATGGAGCTTATGGATATGCAACAAAATGCAAAATAGACTCAGGTGTCCAAGCTTTATTAAAGAATGGAAGCATCGATTCAGCAACAACGAACGCCTGCTCTTCGTCGTAGATGCGTTGAGCCTGAGACGCACATCTGTGGTCAGCAACTGTAATGTAAGTCCGATAAAAAATAGAAATGAAGCCGTTCCCGACAACGCCTCGATCAATTCCACCCGAGCTTGTTGGAGCTGTAAGGTCTTGGTGAGCACCTAGTCTGCTTCAAGGCATTCGACTTGCAATCGTGATGAACTGTTTACTGTACAAGCCAGAAGGAATCGTATGTGTGTGTGTGTGTGTTAGCTACGTGTAAAGCTTGCCAACAGCTATCCGGCCTCATTCTGCAAAACAGATGCTTGGTCCTGAACATGTTTGATTCCTTGCTGGTTTGAAGCATCAAAACATGCTCGAAGCATCCACATCCGACGATTGATCTGTCCGATTCATACAAGGGGCAATCTGTATATATATATATGTATGTATACATATAGTTATTGTAGCGTTTGGAAAGCTGGACAAAACTCAGACTCTCCTACTCTCAGTCCAAAACAACTCACATCTCTCGGTCCTTTTTGGCCTTGAACAGGCTCGCATGGGTCTTTCTTTTGGCTTCTTCTGTTAGGTCTAACTCCGACCGCGTCTCATTGAGGCGCTCCTGATCGAGAATGTAAGACTAGATAGATGGCAATCGCGCTTTGTGATCTTGCACTGCCCTGTCTCACTTCTATACTGTTGGGTGACATTGCTACAAAGCTTGTATAACACACATGGTCCTTGATACCTTTGAGCAAGCCAACCACATATCCGCTATCTGGCTCAAGACTTTGCCTCCAAGGTAATTCAACTGGAGAATTGGATGCACTGTGAAACCATCTTGAAACGTGGAAACAGTTGAGTGCCATCTTGTGATGGTTTGCCACGATTGCCTCTGCAAGAATGCAGTCTTGGAGCCAGAGATCTTGGACAAAGCCTTGTCGACCTCGAACAAATGAGATGGTTACAATCACATGGACGGATCTTTCGAGCTGCTCTTGATTTACATCTGTCATGCGTACATACTTTAGACAACATGATCAGGTCAGCCGTCACCTTGGTATGCGTGTAATCTTTTACTGAACAAATGTTTGTGACTTTTACTGAACAAATGTTTGTGACACTAACTACCCAATCAGTCTGGATCTTGGCATTGCTGACAGCCAAGCTGCAGTTCGAGAGGACTGGGTGTTGAGCTCAACCTGACAGGTGACGACTTGCACGAATACTGTGATACAACAAAGGGGACGACATATGCTCAAAGACTCACTGTTCCCCAACGCACGGGATGCGTGGGAAAACCTAACCACTAAGGTTTGGTCGTCTGTCCGTCCCAAGCAACCAGATACATCAGTCTCATGACTTGCGACATCTCCTCACGACAAATATTTATGTCACTCCGTCGCAGCACATACAGAGGAAACAAAGAACAGTCAAGAAAAGGATGAAACACGCTTCCTCAATGGAAGCCTTGTATTGGGCAACGTTCGTCAACCTTTATATGGCCAAGTACGACTACGGCAAAGTCCAGCAAAGGGCCAAGAGGTCCAATATCTCATTTTGGCGACCAGGCTTGATCTTGGGCTCTTTGTTTCCGTGCGTCAAAGTGAATGGTCTGCCTCTTCTGTGTACTTTGACGCTTCTTCCTCACGGATGCTGCTCATCTGATCTTGTGCGTCCTTGTGGCATCTCGGCTACGTGGGCATTCAACCGGCTACTGGCACCATCATGGGGGAATATGATTGGTTGAAGAGAGTAATTACAGTAGGATGAAAACACCATCCGTCAGAGGCTGAAACATGGTCTGTCGTCTCCTGGAGCTCTTTCACATCGTTGTCTAAAGAGCCAATGCTATGCTCCAGAGCAGAAATGGACGCTGTGAGCTCACGGAGCTTGACAAAGGCCTAGCAGAAAAATCGCAGCCGGTTCGGAGTGGATGAACTTTAATCTTTTTTTTTTCGACCTTTAGACCACGTAACAATTTCTGCACTCCAGCGTAACAATTTGGGCTTCCTTCCCTTACATTCCACTTTCCCGAACTTCATGTTCGTTCCTATCCTCCTTTTCTATCCTTTTCTTTTAATTGAACCTCTTTGATCTGTTTGGATGCCTGGGGTGCTGTCAAACAAGCTCTAGCTCCTGCAAACCACTCCTTCAACTCATCTGTCTCCCAACCTGGCCTTCTCCGAGCTCAGCTTTGCTTTTTCAGACCCAGTAGTGAGCCCATCAATCCTTACAGTAAAGTAGAATGATGGAGGAACCTAGGACTACAGTACTTGAAGCCAGCACTGGAAATAATGCAGACATCCGAAACGAATCGTTCCGCTCAACCTCCGTTCGGCTTGCCAAAGACTGTCCAAAGAGGTACTATTCCCATTTGGAACTCTTGGGTAACAACATGCCACAACGTTGAGGTCCTACTCTCAGTTTACTGTACCTTTAAAGACGTTACAGTATGAAGTAAGGGCCTAATGACCAGTGGTGGAAAAAGGATGCAAAAGGGACTTCTTGTTTCAAGCAAGGCACTCAGAAGCACACCAGGCCTCAAAGCAGAGAACCGATACAGCGAAGTCAGATTCTGCGAAAGCAGATTCTGCGAAGCAGTTTCAAGCCTTGAACTCGGTGAAGGCAATTTCCTCTCTCTTCGACTGATTATCAATGTTCTTGACAATGTCCTCCAAGCTGGAAACCCCTTGAAGTGACAAGCTTTGCAGAAGACACATGAAGAAAACAATGACATCCTCGCCCGGTGGAGCTGTTAGTGCTTGCTGCAGCATCTAGTTGACCACAACTGAATGGCAAAAACCCTCAGATGAGAACATCTTTCTAGATCAAACACTCCTCGAGGGTGCTGATAACCTCAAAGTCTCATGGCTTAAAAAGAGGTGTATGGAGCTACGTGCTTAGGTGGTGATGCTCATCAATCTTTCACAAGCCAATGACAAACACAGCCCCAAGGAGACGGCAAGAGCAAAGCGGCTCTCCGGTTCCTCTGCCTGCTCAAAATATTGTTGCTTATCAAATGTGCCCAGCGTGCCCTTCGATGAACCAACCAGGCACTTCCTTTGATTAATGCTTGAAGATTCATTGAATAATTGAATACGCAAAATTGTTTAAGTATGCTGAACCTTTTTGGACTTGAGCATGTTCTCCATGAGGCTCTATGAGGCTCTATGAGGCTCCATCCGGCCTGGGTCCAAGCCAAGCAGCTGTACCTTGCCGCTTGGGGAAGAGGCTCTCGGGGCATCCGTTTTGCTTGCAAACCTCTCCACACACAACTGAATTGCACTATGTCACGTATTACATACACATATGAGTGTGATATATGATGTAGAATGTATAATATATATATATATATATCTATCTATCTATCTATCCACACATCCATCCATCCATCCATCGATCTATCTATTTAATTTGTCACATATTTATGTATAGTAGATACCCATCTGCCTGTGTTCATCAGCCGAGATACAGCAGCAGCGCGCTGCAGAACTTCATTTTGGCACCTCTCCATCTGATGCACAACAAGTGCGAAGAAAAAAGGTCCTTTCGAAATGAAACATGGTCCGAATTCTTTTGCCTTTTTTCAGCTCTCTGACTCTTTGCTGAGAGTCTGGCCAGAAGGGACACCTGGCCCCTATTTAGTTTGAGCCCGAAATGTGCATTGGATACCAAAAGCAGAAAGGGCAAACCACATTTGGTCAAATGTGAGTGGCATTGTCAGACCTCTTTCTGCAAAGCTACGATCATGAACGCTATGCTGAGGCCTAAACATCAGCTCCAGCATTCTGGATCCTCAGCAAGAAACAAATGTCCAAGGAACCGCCAGACAAACATTTGCAAAAGCATGGTCAGCACAAAGGTCAGCACAAAAGAACATGAAATCATTATATATTTTACATTATTTTACTATATGTTGGATTCACACCTCTAATCTGACCTGCCAGTGGAACTGACAGTATCTGAGCATGATCTCCTTTGCTATCCAAGTCTCGTCTGGTGCACTCGAAGGGTAACGTCGTCCACGGCATCTTTGGTGGACTTGTTCTCCCTGAGCTGAGATGGCTTCAACCAATTCTAGAGTTCAAAAAACGGTATGTTAAATAACGTTTCAGGGGCAAGTGGATCATGACCCAGCAGCTCCAGCATGTTGTCAGAGTTTTTGCATCAAACGCTAATTACAGCAGAAGCTGAGTACTTCACGAGGACCTGTCCTCCTTTGACATGCCCTACGAAGCATCACAGCGTCACACCGCCACGTGAAAAAGGAAAAAACAAAGAATGCCATCGCTTCTAAATGTGGTCTCAGCGCCGCAAGAAGCTCCAGGATCCTGGTCTCTGCAGGCGACAAGCGAGATGGGCCCAGGCCTCTGCCTCGCTGGAAAGGCGCACATGGACCTGAAAGAGAGACTTTTTTTTTTGGATTCTCCAATCGCTTGAATGACCTACACGAGCCAAAACGCCTGTGACTCTGAAACATTGTATATAGCTGGTAGCTAGCAGCCTGTGACTCTGAGATCCAGGCTGTGCTAAGCGTTGCACATGCTGGAAAAGACTCAGACAAGGAAAGGGGGCTATGGTTTCCTGTGCTTATTCATTGCAGTTCTTCGTTCTGGTGGCAAAGCAAGCGCATGCTGCATCTACTAGCTGTGAAGGGGCTGAGCATATCATCTGCATATATATATATATATAATTGATTCACGAAAGGTGATTTCTGGCTGCTACATTAAAAGAGTATGCCCATGACTGGTGGTGCGGTACATGTGTGAATACCAGTCTGTTGAGTGTCTCCCATCTGCAAAATCTAATCTCCGGCGAAAAATTAATTGAAACAGCCTTATCGCAGCTATCGCACCGCTAACGACTTCAATGCAAGCAACTCTGGCTTGAAATCTTCAATCTGGGGCCAGAATCTTTGCTGTACATCCCAACTTTCTCTTTGCAGCCCTGCACCCTTTTTGCTTGGACTTCAGCCGCTCCCTGCACAATTTCTCTGCTCATTTAGAGCTGGCATACAACAAGCTGCCACGCGCCTGCTCAGCATGGCTAACCTTCCACCGCTTGCACCAAACAGCACACGTTCTTTCATTTGTGCGTTGCATCCCGTCTAACAATGATGGATTTATCAAATAGCTGTGCCGTGTGTTGCTGTTTGGCCTTTGAGTTGCCCTGGAGTTGCACTTGCAGGTGCCAAAGCCATATTCTCAGCTCATATATGTCAAGCTCTCTTATGCTCTGTTCAGTGTTTAAATTTGAGACCATGTTGTTCAAGGGTCCGAGATCACATCGGAACCGTTTCGGGATCTTTCACCAGGGCACTCGACATCGCAGGAATGGTCTCTAGCAACCACGCCCAAAATGCCATCAGAGCAGGAGTTCCAACTCCGTGCGGCGATAGCAGTGCTCAGCATCATCCTCCAACTTCGGGTAGGAGGGGATGAGAGCATCCTGTCCATCACTGAATCACAGAGGTGTTCGTGCAGCCAATATGTTCTTCAGATTTCTTCGGTCCATTTTGTTCCAATTGCATTTTTTTTGAAGGGTATGTAAAGAAGCATTCATGAGAACAAAAACTTTGCAATGGCGCAAGGGCACAAGAAGACTACCACTACATACACAGTCACCAAATGAAGAGCCTCACTTGAGAAAACTGGCATCACAACTGCAACTGCTAGAGAAACTGAGAGAAACCTGAGATCCAATGTAGAGGTTGTTGTACAACCGCCAGTAAACAGCCTCGGAACATCCGGGGACCGGGAAGGCCATGACACATGGACCATCGCGGCCAGTCGTCTCGGTCCCTGGCTCGCACTCGTCTGGCAGGATGCCACAAGCCTAACGAAGAGGAAGGCTGAAGAACGTCCTTGCTCCTAGTAGCGATGCCCTTGTTATTAGTAGCTTCTTGC